CGCATAATAATTGGCATTCAATAAATTTTTGCGAATCTAATTAATTGAATTCACGAGTTATTGAACACCCTTTGCATCTCAGGTGAGGGACAGTCGTGAGAGCACTGGTATGTCGAGTGTCAGAGAGAGAGAGAGAGAGAGAGAGAGAGAGAGCTGAGAGAATGTTATACAAGTACTAAATTTGGTATGAAATTCATGTATAAATTTGTAATCAAATTACTGTTAATAAGCGTTAATACAAACAGAGAGACAATTATTATATAAGAGAGCAGTTATGCAAACATTAGTTTGGATATAATGTTTGAAACCGTCTACAATATAATGTATGCAATAAATAGCTCAACAGTTATGTCTAATTGAAAGCCAATACAACAAAAGCAATACAACACTCAATACATGCATAATATGATCGCATAATAATTGGCATTCAATAAATTTTTGCGAATCTAATTAATTGAATTCACGAGTTATTGAACACCCTTTGCATCTCAGGTGAGGGACAGTCGTGAGAGCACTGGTATGTCGAGTGTCAGAGAGGGAGGGGAGAGAGTATGCGATCCAAAGGCTGACATCTAATGTGTTAATCACAACAATTGACTCATTATTTATAAGTTGTTTAAAAGTTTTGACTTAAAACACTTAAATGCTTACAAATTAATTACCATAAGTTTGTTGTATAAAATATGTTATTTATTTATTAAAAGTGCTTTTAATTAAATGTAGTATATATTAAAATTAATTCAATTTATAACTCAAACAAAACTATTAAACAAAATTTAAAGCAATATTTTTTACCTAAACTTTTTTATACAATAAAAATAGTCTATAAATAACTACGAAAAACATTTAAAAACATTAAATAACATTTGTATCAAAATATAAAACAAAAAATACAATAAATAATAATTTAAGAGAATTGTAATGTAATAATGGATGCGATTCTTGTGTCCATTCATTTCGCTCCCGTCTTGTCCTCAAAAGCGGCGATTCGTTGCAACACTTCTGCATTGGATTCCTATGAATGACAACAAAAAGCAATTATAAAACACATTAAGACAACAAATGCGGCCATCAATGAGAACAATGGCAGCCAATGGTAACCCGTTATCACCTCATATTGCTTGACATCGGCCTCGAAGTCGTCAAAGAGAGCCGCCGATTGTCTGACGAGAGTGTGCTGTCGATCGCCAGCGTCTGAGTCCTTGTTTTCCATCAGATTCTTCATCTCAAACACATTGGACTTGATTTTGGGCAACAGATCCCGGTATCGGATCAGCTCAGCGCTCGACACGCGGTGGCGATCTTCCAAGTATTGCATCCGTTGTTTCGCGATATCAAGCAATCGGTTCGCTTCGGTCAACATTCGGTACGCGCGATGTCTTTCGGCCGCCAAGTCTTCGGCGCTCATCTTCTTGTAGTCTTTGAAGCCGACGGACACCAACTCTTCGCTCTTCGGTTTGGATGTCATTCTCACGAGTCGTTTGTATTGAAAGTCTAATCGATGTCTCAATTGAGGGCTTCTTTCGATAATGTCTTCCTCTCTAAGGCTTTCTCTCAATTGAATGAATGAATCGAACGAACGGTTTGTGCGGAAGAAAGAGCGCGAAGACTAACCAAACGATCGAAACTTCGAACCAATCGTATGCCGACTGAAGGGACAGACGATACAAAAGTGTGAGTTTGCGGACCAATGGCTGACATCTATCGCACGTTCGCAGCCATTGATCGCATGCTGTGGTCGCGCCTGAAATGGCACTCACTATCAAAGCGCCGGCTTTTATGCCAATACTTATGGCATTTGAATTGAATGAACGCTATGTTTGACAACACGTTTGGCGCCACTCAGGGCTCACACACTACACAAACACTCCCTTTCAGTGCCTTTCACTCCAACTGTTGTGCCATTCATTTAAAGAGCACAACAAACACAACACAACCCATCACTCAATGCATGCCTCAGTTTTGATATACTTTTATATAATTGTTATTTAATTTAATTTAAAAAGTTTTTTATATTTATTTGAATTGTGTTTTGAATTGTGATAAACAGTGTTGTGTTGTGTCCACACATTTGATGGTATGATTTGACAGACTATTTGAGACATCGATTGATAACAACAACACCGCCCGACCTAATGGTTGTCCGGCACTCGCCGTGGATGTGATGTCTTGAGCGGACACAACTGCCACTCTCTCGGCCGAAGAGCATGTCGTCGTTGGAGGAGGAGGTGTCCAAAGAGCAGACCTTCAAAGAGGTTCAGTTCTCCCTCTGCGAAGACGTCTCACAATATGAAAATGTATTGCATTTTGCTTTTTATCCATTGCTTGTCTTCGCCGGTAATCTGATCTCATTGTTGTTGTGATCGCTGTGTTTGACTCATAGGTAAAGAAGTTGTTGCTGTCGGGCGGCGCCAAGTTCTTCAACTACTTGTCGGACAATGTGACTCATCTGATCGGTGATAATCCGGATCACCCGTCGGTGTCCGAAGCCGTAGAGATCTATGAGAAGCCTGTGGTCACCGTAAGTGCTCTTTTGGTGTTGTGTTATTGCTTACAATCCGATTATCATATGTTTGTTTTGTAGAGTCGATGGGTTTGGATGTCGGCGAAGGCGTCCCTACTATTGCCGTAAGTGTTTGTTTCCGTATTAAGTGATTACAAATCTAATCCATTATTTGCTGTGACGGACAGAACGGCCGGCTTTTCCCCATTTAAGAGCCAATTGTTCTCGAATATCATCGCCTGTCCGTCCAATATATCGGGCACTGATGTGCAGTCGTTGTGGGCAATGATCACATACTATGGCGGCT